ATCGGCTGCAACTGTCCTGCCGGCCGCTTCCGTGACGACTTCATGAGCTGGCAAGTGGGACACGATGCCACGTGTCGCTGTACGTCGGTCAACATCTCGGGCCAGTAATAATACCGCTGCAGCTGCTGCCGTGTTTTTTCTACCCCAAAATGTCCCGAGGTAACTCCGTCGTGTACCTCGTGTAACAATAATTCCCGTAGCAGAGTGTACCCAGGTACCCAGATGCGGTCAGTCCCAGTTTTTACGTAATAGACTCCCCGTGCTGTTGCGAACTGCTGCAAATTGCCTCCTGTGAAGAAGGGGTCCGTCTGATAACCGTGGGAAAATAGGCCTGTTAAAAGTGGGCTGGTCTGGGCGAGTAGGATTGCGTGGATGTGGGCGGTGGGGCGGGTCAGTGCGTCAGCTATGTTGGATGCTCCCTTTTTGTAGGTGACCGTGTAGTGGAAGTTGGACTCGAGGAAATCAAGCCATCGAATCTGTCGTGGGTTGAGGTGGGGCTGTGCGCGAAGGTACTGTAGTGATTTGTGGTCTGTCCGTACTGTCACGTCTGCGCCGGTCAGGTAGCAGCGCCACACTTTGAACGCGTGCACGATCGCGAGCATTTCGCGGTCGTGTATCGGGTAATTCTTCTCGGGCGGATGCAGTTTTCGTGACTCGTATGCGATGGGCTGTAGGCCGTTGCCGAAATCTTGTAGCAGTACCGCTCCGATGGCGATGTCGCTGGCGTCTGTAACTACTTCGAATGGGCGGTGTGGGTCGGCAATGCGCAGGACGGGCGGTGAACAGAGAACAGTTTTCAGGGCAGAGAAGGCAGCATGCTCTTTCTCCCCCCACGTAAAAGCGACCCCTTTCCGCAATAAATCCGTCAGTGGGGCTGTTAAGCGAGCCATGTCGGGGACGAACCGACGGACGTAATTAACAAACCCCAAAAAACTCTGCAGCTCCGTGATGTTCGTCGGAGGGTGCCACGCCTTGACCGTGTCCAGCTTCCATGGGTCAATCTCAACCCCAGCCGCCGAAATAACGTGCCCCAAAAATTCTAACCTATCCCGAAAGAACTCGCACTTAGAACCCTTGGTCAATAACCTATGCTCCTCTAAAATCTTAAACACTGCTTCGAGGTCCGCTAAATGCTGCTGCTTATCGCGACTGTAGACGAGGATGTCGTCGAGGTAGACTATCACGCACTTATCTAAAAGTGGCCGAAACGCCTCGTTCATGGTCATCTGAAATGTCGCAGGTGCGTTGGTCAGCCCGAAAGGCATCACGGTGTACTCGAACGACCCGTACCTAGTCCTAAAAGCTGTCTTGGCGCAGTCCGATGGTTCGACCCGAATCTGGTGGTAACCTCCCCGTAGATCTATCTTCGAAAACACCCGTGCTGTTCGCAGCTGGTCGATCAGTTCGTCGGCGCGGGGGATGGGATATCGCGATTTAACTGTAACCCTGTTGAGCGCTCGGTAATCGATGCACATGCGAAACCCTCCGTCTTTTTTCGGTGTGAACAGTATCGGTGCGGCGAACGGTGACGAACTCGGTCGGATAAACTGCTTCTCTAACAGGTAATCTAACTGCTTCCTCAGTTCGTCGAGCTCCGGCTGTGTCAGTCTGAACTGGCGCTGTACGGTTGGCTGTGCCCCCGGCTCTAGTTCTATCCTATGATCGTGCGCCCGCTGAGGTGGCAGTCCCTCTGGTAAGTCGTCGGGAAAAATCCCCGGGTACCGTTTCAACAGTTCCTGTAGTTCGGGTGGTACCGCTGCCAGCAATTTCTGAAAGTTGCTCGGCTGTTCTGCTTCTCCCACTACTGCGATGTCCACTGCGTACACGTCAGCTCCAGCGGCGACTGCCCGTTTCATCGTGATGGCGTTGACGTGGACCGTTGAAGACTCAGGCGACTGCCAGCGTGGTAGTTCGACCCAGTTACCACTACTTCGCACAGTGCAGCTGCCTGTCGTCCAGTCAATTCGCGGGTTATACCGTCGCAGCCAATCACGTCCCAGTAATATATCGTGCCCATCCAGCGTCGTCGCGAGCATTTCCTGTGTAAACCCGAAGTTCCCCCCGCAGCGAACCTTTACTCTCTCCACCTTTTCCCGTATGGCCAGCGGCGTGCCGTCAACTAAGCGTGCGTCTATTTTAGGTAAGCACCGGCTGAGTGTCAGTTGCAGTTTCCGTGCGGTTGCAGTATTAACTAAGCTATGGCTTGCTCCTCCGTCGATAAAAATCTTCACTGCTGCTCCCTGTATTTTCCCGTAGATCAGTATTGGGCAGTCCATCGCTGTACCCTCCTTATTCATCCGAGCCCGATCGATGGCGTGAATCGGTACTGTGACTCGGTGAGGGTCGGTGCGGTTGGGCGAGCAGGCAGTCTCGTCAGTAGTTGGCCCAACTTCTACTGACTGCTGGCGTTTCCCTGTCTCTGAGACTCCCTCCCCTGCTCTGCTCCGCGGCGCCTCAGCTCCTCTGGACATTCACTCTTGCGATGGCCCGGCCTGTTGCAAGCAAAGCAGCGCCCCTTAAATGGCGCGGCAGCTGCGTTCGTCGCAACGGCGTGTACGGTGGCGTGCTCGATCGGCCCCCGAGGACGATGTCCGTAGTAAGACCCCGGTCTCGGCCGGCGCAAAATGTCGATTTTCTCGGCGAGCGCGAGAATCTCGTTGAACTTCGAGAGCCCGCGTAGCATGATATCTTGCAAGATCTCCGGCTTCAGCCCTCCGACGTAACGGTCCAGCCTCTCCGCTTCGTGCATGTAGCCGACCTGCTCGCATAATGCGAGAAAACCGCTCGTGTAGTCTTGAACCGATCCGAGCTGCCGCCAAGTGCGCAGTTTCTGACGCGCCGAAATAGAAGCCGCGATCGGCTCGAAGCGCGCCCGAAGCCCTACGCACCACGCATCCCACGTGCTGTACTGGGCGGTTTCGCAGAACGAACTCCAGGTGACTGCTGGACCCGCGGGCCCTTCCTCTTGCGACGGTGGCTCGTAGGCGCGTGGCGACGTCACGATGACTCGCCACCAGTCCATAGCGGGGCCCCTCAGCAGCGAAACGGCGTATCGAATCTTCGCTGCGTCCGACTCGACGTAATTCGCGTCGAAGAAGACGTTCATCGTGAAGATCCACGATTGAACCGTCGGACCTCCACGCTGGCTCGGGTCGAAACAGGGCGGGCGCTGCGGCCTGAGTGGCATAGGTGCCATGATGGCTTGATCGCCACTTGTTGCTGCAAACTCCACGTGCCGACGGGTTTCGCGAGGCTCCTGAGGGCTTGGCGCGACCCGGTTTCGTCCCATGCCAGGCATTGGCTGGGCGGCGCTATCACTGGCTGCTCCTGAGCGCTGTCCCACGCTGTCGTTCTGTGTTGGTGTGCCGGACGAAATGACGATCAGCTCCTCCGACTGTGCAAGTACATTTTGTGGTGCTGGGGCGCTCGCCGTGGCTTGCTGACGCGCGGAGTCTCGTTCCGCCGTGAGTGTCGCGATTTCGAGCGCCGATTCTTCAACTTGGCGCACCAGGCGGTCGAGCTGCTCCTGCGTCAGAGTCGTGAGCGTGAATTCGGCCATGGCGGGGGTGTCGGGCAAGCTCAGCGAGAGCCTCTGTCGTGGCCGTGCGTGCGTACGAGAGAGCACTATAAGCGGCGGTGCTGTGTCGCTGAGAGACGTCTACCCCCTCCAAAAATTGAGATAGTGGGGAAGCGAAGGTGTGGGTGCGGTCCGAGAAGAGATCGTAGGCTCTGAATACCAAGTGTTACGAGTGCAATTGAGTGAGCGAACGAAGATTGCACTATCGAAGCAACAAGTACAATGAGCGAAGGCATGAGCGAAGATTATATAGCGAAACTACAGTGGTAACGGTAATGTGTGGAAAATGGGGTGCGCGACGGGCCTAGCGCCGAGGTTGGGAATTGTCGAGGCGGAGGTCCGGAGCGCGGGTTACCAACCGAGCCGTGAGGTTGGGTCGCGTCGTGAACAGTGGCGGGAACAGTACCGAGGCGAGTGTCGCGAGTGGTAACGGATTACTGTTGGGTGCTGTTGGCGGCAATAGTGCTGTACGCGCTGAGCAGGGACGCGAAGTAAGGAAAAGGAATTTTCCTTACACCGTCCTCATAATCTTAGAACAACCGCATTTCATAACTCTGCAGTTGGTATTCCATTGGTGCCATCCATGCTAGTAGACCAGAAAGAAGTGATTAGGTATCCAAACAGAAACACACATCTAGAAAAAGGTACAAGGGCTAGACAACATGCATTTTTTTTTTTTTTTGAATATGTTTACTATACACGGGTGGTACATGCGTATACGAAAACATATGTCAGTCGTAACTGAGCATGAGAGGCCGGAAGCTAGTAACGGCCCCAGAGGCAGTGTCTAAGGCGGATGTAGAGCATCTCGCGCGAGGTTCCACAGTGCCCCGAAATTACGGGTCCACTTCCAGCCCTTCTCGCCCATGCATCGGATACGTCCAAGCAAGTCATTTTCCGATCCCGCCAGTGCCAGCATCCTCCTTTGTCGCTTCGAACCACCGCCCTTCCCCAGCTTCCTCCCCAATGCGCGGGTGTACACCTTCACATGCAGCCGAAAAGCTGCCTCAATACGCCTGAGGACGCGCCGAGCCCGAAAGCGCTTCTCCCGGAACACACAATCACACCGCTCTGCCCATATCTGGTGCACAGCAACTGCTGCCAGTGAGGCTTCGGGGAAATCTGAGGTGGATGCTGCCTTGCCGAATAGCAAATTGCCCAAGCTCTCCACTTGCCTTGCTGGGTGAAGCAAACGCATGGCCCGTCTGACCGCCCCCACCACCTGCTGAATGCGCGGGCAGGTGAAGAGGCAGTGCTCCAGGGTCTCGAAATCCCCACAGTGCGGGCAGACCGGCTTGCCACTTAGGAAAGAGAGCCGTTCCCCACCTGCAGATTCAGGCTATGAATCCTGAGCAGCACGTCCCGCGGCCTGTTTGGGGTCACCAACGAGTCCCGAATTTTGATGACTTCCTTCCAGTTGATTTCACCTCCCCATCTGCCCGCCCACAGCTCCCTCTTCGCGGACTGATGCTTCTTCTGCTGCCAGCTTCCTTTCAGCTCCTTCAACGACGTCAGCTGCCCACCGCTGAGCACCAGGGTTCTCTGGAGGGGAGCCCTCCGAGCCGAACAATCCCCCACCTGTTGCTCGGCAGGCAGTAGGAGCAGCTTCCAGCTCTGCGGCACTGCGTCCCAAGCCCGCAACGCCAGCTTTGCTTGTTTGGTGCCGCCTAGTTCCTTCGTCAGGAGTTTTACATCTTTGGGCCGCCGCCCCCCCGCGCCGTCCGGGCATAGTAGGTCGCCAAGCCGGACCTCCCAGAGTTTCTCCGCAGCCTTCTGCCCTCCCACCGGGGTCCTTCCGTTAAGCAGAATATGACGGTTAAATACAATCCTCTCCATCTCTGCCTCCTCCCGCGACAGCACCGGTGATGTGATGGCCAGCGGCGACTGCATGAAGTCACCGCATGCCAGCTTCCATCTCTCGCTCTTCCCACTCCAGCACTTCAAGAGCTTGACATGGGAGACGAAGGTGTCCAGCCCCAGCGGCAAATCGGCAGCCTTGAGCATGATGTCACGCTTCAGCTCGTTTGTCTCGGTGAGGAGTAGTCCAATACGCCGCGCCGTGAGACAGGTGAGGGCTATCTCCGGATCATTCACCCCCACACCCCCGTCCTCTCTAGCCATGTAGAGCAGTTCCTTGCTCCACAGAATGAAAGCTTTGTCTGTGGTGGCCCGATTCCCCGACATGAAATTGTGAGTTAGCTTCAGAACCCTCCCCCAGATGTCAACCGGAGGCGGATATACCTGCGCCTGGAAGAAGATGATAGGCGAGATGTAGCAGTTAATAACCGCTGCCCTCGCCCCGGTTGTCAGGTGTTGCACCTCCCACTGTCTCAGCTTCTCCTTAATCCTTGCAAAAGCCTTCTCCCAAGTGGGCGCGCAACAGCCGGCCGGCGTCACCCAGACCCCCAACAGACGCTCCGCCTCATCGGCCTTCACCCGTTTGAAGCCATCCGTCTTACTGGCCTGCTTATTCAGATTACAGCCCAAAGGTAAGACGGCAGACTTCGATTTGTTGGTCGCCAACCCCGATTCCCTTTCAAAGTCATCAAGCAGCTTTTCAGCCTCTGCTATCTGATCCTCCCCTTGCAGGAGCAACGTTGTGTCGTCCGCGTACCCCAGGTAAGCCAGCCGCTGAGCACCCCCTGTGAGACCCAGGCTGCGGTTCACAGCTTCCTGCGCCAACCTGCTGGGAAAGCCCATCTTTTCCAGCACTAGAAACAGATAATTCCTCGAGACTGAATCGAAGGCCTTCTGGAAATCCACCAGCAGGAAGTACCAGTCCGCCTGCTCGTTCTTTGCAGCGTCAATCACATACGCGACCAACCCCACCGCGTCCGAGAGCCTCCGGCCCGGCAGGAACCCGTACTGCTCCGGTGAGATCACTTCGTTCAAGACCCTGTTTATTCTGTCTGCGACTACCCGCGCCAACACCTTGTAAGTGAAGCTCAGAAGCGTGATTGGGCGATAATTTTCCACCGCATCCCTTCCGCCCTTTTTGTGTAACCGAATAGTGACCGCACTCTTTGTGCTTGCAGGGAGCTCCGCCGTCTCGGTGAAACTCTCCACCAGCGCCATGAAGTGCTTACCCAGCACATCCCAATGCTCCTCAAACAGCTCCTTCGGCAACCCATCATTCCCTGGAGCCTTATTCTTCGCCATCGCATGAAAAGCGCTTTTCACCTCCTTCTCTGACCAAGCCGCCGTCAGCCTTTCTCTAGCTATCAGCGACAGCATTCTGCCAGTGGCAGGAACCCAGCCTGACTCGACCTGCTGCCTGTCGTGCCCGAAGAGGTTTCTGTAGAACTGCGACGCAACCCCCAAAATCGCCTTATTGTCAGTGACCGTCACACCTCCAGCACTCAGCTCCTTGATCTGTGTTTTCTCCCGCCTTGCCTTAATCTTCCCTGACAGGAACGGGGATGCGACCTCCCCAGCCACCGCCTCACTCATGCCAGCCATCTCATGCAGCCTCTCCTGCCTTGCCAGTTGGTAACCGCGAAGCTGCGACTCCTTTTCAACCAGCAAAGCCTTCAGCCGGTCGTCCCCCGAATTACCCATCCACGCTTGTTTCAGCGCCGCAACCGCATCCTGAAGGTGGGTCATTGTGGCTTTAACCCGCTTGCGTTCCTCCTTTACGTAAGATTTAAGGTCGGCGTTAAGCCTCGAGATCAGCAGCTCAAAGTTTTCTCTGTTTGACGCCACCTGCCTTTCCACTGCTTCAATAATCTTTCTGACCCCCGGCCGACCAATCATGTATGCAGGCAACCTCCAAAGCCCGGGACCCAGCTTCACCCGTGTATCCATCCTGAAAGCAGCCTTCACCGCGAAGCTGTGGTCTGAGATCGGGTCCGCCGGCATGATGTGCGTGGCAAACTCCACGTGCGACAGCAGCGACTGCGAAATAAGCGCCCTGTCAATCCGCGAGTTGGACTGGTTAGCGCACGAGTAAAAGGTGAACTCCCGCTTGTAAGGATGCAGCACCCTGAAAGCGTCTGAAACATTGAAAGCGCTGCACCTCTGGTACAGCTCCTCGTTCTCTTTTGCTGACCCCTTCTTCGACGTTCTGTCCAGCAGCGGGTCCTCTACCATGTTGAAATCCCCCAGGATCAGCAGGTGCGATCCCGGCTGCACCGAATCAACCACTGGGCCTAGCGTCCTGCGGACGAAAGCCTTTCTTTCGACTGCATCTGCCGGGAGATAGACAGCCAGCAGGGTGATACTGAAGGAGTCAAGGCGAACCTCCGTCGCGACAAGTCTGCCGGACGGGTGAACGAGCGTGTTATGGAGGGAGAGGCCAGGCCTGCGGCAGATAAGAGCCACACCCCCGGCTTTGGAGGTAGGAGAGGCGACTAAGATGTTAGGTTGGTTGAGAGACTTCCAAAAGGTGTGATCATCCGAGAGCCTAACGTCAGCTAGCACAATGACATCTGCTGCTTGTCTGATCCATGATTTCGTACGTTGTTGCTTGTTCCCGTCCCCCAGGCCGTTGACATTCAGGCCTGCAAATGATAACAGACTCTTCGTACTCATTTAATCACTGCTGACAAGCCCCATCGCATCCACGGGCGGGTACAACCGGCTACTACTACACAAACAAGCAACAGCTCCACAGCAACACTACACTGCATCAGGTGCGCGGGTGATGATCTCAGATCTGGTATTCCTTGCGGATGATATGCAGACCCAGCCTCTCCAGGGAACAGCGGGTGGCAGCACCCAGCTTCTCCAGGCCCAGCAGATGGCTCGCCGCCGTGATATGATCTGCTGCAGCCATGAAGGACTTGCCGTGGGCCTTCCCGCAGCTCTCGAGGGTGCACAGCCATTCCTCGCGGTTGCTCCCAGTAGAGATCAGCACAAAAGCCGCATCCAGCAGAAGCGGGGTGATAAGCGGGGAAGCGCGGAGAGAGGCAGCTGCGAGAGGCGAGCGACGCGTCAGTAACCGTTAAGGCAGGTAAAGCAAAACGACAACCCGGAAAAGGTGAGATGCGGTTACCATTGATCCTATGAACCCGTCCCACGGTTAAACTCCACTTCCCTATGTTATTCTGACGCTCCGTGATGAAAGCATTATGAAACTTGTCATAATCATGTCCACCACAGAGCGCGCAGGATAGCAACGGGTAGTGGGCCAACAGGGTCGTTCCTCCCAGCAGCTGATGACGGAACTCATGGCGCCAGCGGTGCTTGTCGCCGGCGTGCGGAACCACCAAACCCTTGACCTTATCCGTATCAGCTCCAGTGATCGGGTGCAGCACGCGGTGGAAGCAATGGCCTTCGGCGAAAGCGGTCTGCTTCCGAATCTTGAGCGGGTGAGTCACCATGATCTCCTTAACCAACTCCGGCGGGATGTCAGCAGGGACGTTCTTGAAGAAAACTTCCAGAAGCTGCGGGCCCGAAGCCTTCTTGCGAAGGTAAGCCGCATCCTCCTGATGCAGCCAGAAGCAGTGAATCGTCGTGCCATTTTGACGCTTGTGTTCCACCGCGGTCTGCTTGATATTCACCGCGTCAGATTCATGCAGGAAGGAGACCTGAAGCCGACTATAGCGGGTCTTTACGACAAAGGCAGGAAGCAACTCCTGAAACTTCACCGAAGCGAGAACATCATCAGTGAGCAGGTTAGACCAGACACGCTTCATCAGCGTTTTCACAGTCAGGATGACCGAAGCAACTTCGCGGGAAGGAATAACCGGGAAGAGCAGGATCGCCGTGAAGCGCAAATGTGGGTAAGAGCTCTTCGTCACGTCAATGTCGAGCTCCTCGTCCGAGTCATCCTCAATGAAAGAGTCGTTTGGGACCACCGAAGCCAGCGCCTTCAACTTCTCCTCAAGGGTGAGACCAGAGCTTCCTGCCGTCACTTCCGCTTCCGACGGAAGATTATCAATAACCTCTTTCCCCTTGCCTGGCGAAGTCTTCCCTGCCGAATCACTCCCACCAGCAGGAGCGTCAACGACCGGCTGAGCGCGCGAGTTCTTCGGAGGCATCGTGCGATGATGTCAATGACCAGGCAGAAACACTTGCAGCAAAAGCTGAGAGTGGAGATTGAACTGATAAGCCGGTCGTCTGAGCACAACAATGTTAAATAGTTGGCAGTCTTCTGATGTCGACCATTGCTCTTGACATAGGTGTTGCATTGTTGAGGATAGCACTTCGGGGTCATCCCGTTGTGTAACATCTGTGCAGCCAATGTTAGTTAACTCAGGTTGTTCCTTGACCTTCAACCAGAACCTAGGAAGCCACGTGTTAGCATCGGGCTTAGAAGCTTGAACCAGCGAGAGACACCCTTGAGAAGACCTATCAATGTTCGCCTGATGAACACTTAAAAAGTATAGTCTTCTTCGTAAAGGTGTAGCGAATCCAAGGCCGGTAAAATTAAAGCCAGCTGATAAACATGCTTCACGTAATGTGAGTTCCAGGCAAACTGCTGGCAGCCATGGCGGCGAGCTCGAGGATGCCATCCGAGCCATGTAGACAGACAACATGCATGTGCTTGTCTAGCAAGTCATGCCAAACGTGGCGAATTCAGTCATCTTTGTCCACTAACAGAGCATCCGCCAATGCTACAAGAGCGAGAATGAGAGCCATGTCCACATTCGGCATGATTCGGATGAAGTACGTCTGTGCATCGAAAATGTACTTCCTTGCATCCAACAGGTTCTGATTGACCTCAGCCAGCAAGATCCCACTGTTGGTAGTGATCTGAACAGAGGGGATGAAAAGGAGGCAGCGGAAACATTCGAGGTACCTCGGGGGTAAGACACGTGACTTGGCAAATGCAGGTGGATTGCTGCCTGCTGTCATAGTATATTTGTGCAATTGAGCCAAGGTTCAAGCTACTAAAGGTTGTGGTTGGCTACATGCGCTAAGAGTGTTGTCCTGGGGAATGAAAAATGTGACACACATACCTTAAAGTTATGCTTGAGTATTGAGCCGCTTAAGTATATGTCTGGACTGTCAGAAGCATTGCCTCTCAGAAATACCTGCATGCAAGGTAACAACACAAGAACGCAGGAGCGCGCACTCTAGATGTTTAGAAACTTGGAAAAAAAAATGGGTTGCGCGCACCCTGCATCAGCAAACAAAATGGGTTGTTTGGAATAGAAAGCAAGGTAGGAAAAAGCAGAAAGGCAACCAAACAAACAGGTGACGACTGGTATGTCAGAATGTGATGGTTGGCTAGCCTGCAGTGGGGTACTCTATAGCGAGTACAACCCGAATTAGGGTTTCCTATATGTACTCAACTGCTTGCTAGTGAAATTCCTCTTTGCGTGTTTCTCGTTTTCGCCTGCTATCTTGACATGCTATCAGAGCAGGTCGACCCTCCTGGGTCGATCCTGTGGGTGGTCCCGCCCGATGCTTCCGCTGCTGTCTTGTGTGTCGCGCGCCCCGTGGCGCGCGACGTTTTTTCTTCCCGCCACGCGCTCGGGGCGCCTGGCGGTTTTCTGCTCGCCGCGCGCACGAATCGCGCGGCGGTTTTCTGCCCGCCGTGCGCCCCGAGGCGCGCGGCGGTTTCCTACCCCGTCGACCCGCGCGTCGCCCCCCGTCGACCGTCGAAGCGCCCCCCGTCGCCCGTCGACGCGCCCCTGGGCCCCGCGCGGGCCGCGCGCGGCCCGCGCGACCTGCGCCAGGCCCGCGCGCGGCCCGTACAGGCTGCGCCAGGCCCACGCGCGGCCCGTACAGGCTGCGCCAGGCCCGCGCGCGGCCCGTACAGCCTGCGCGCGGCCCGTACGGCCTGCGCCAGGCCCGCGCGCGGCCCGTACGGGCTGCGCCAGGCCCGCGCGCGGCCCGTACGGACTGCGTCAGGTCCGCGCGCGGCCCGGGCGACCCGCGCGCGGTTCGTTCGGCCTGCGGACACCGTCCCCCGAGCTGCTGACCGCGCCCCACCCTTGCTGCTGCCCGCGCTCTTGTTTTAGGGTTTGGGGGTGGAGGGTATGGGGGTGCCGTGTGTGTGAGCCGTCCCCTGCTCCTCCTCCTCCTCCTCCGTCTCCCACTGCTGCAGCTACCGCTGAGGGGGGCGGATGTGTTGGAGCCGTCGGAGTGGTACGAGGGGGGTGGCGTGTGAGCGGTGCTAGTGGTTCAACAGGGAGTGTGTGAACGGGGTGTGGGACAGTTGGGGGAGGTTGACCGGAGGTAGCCGACTAGTCGTCCGCAGCGCCTGAAGTCCAGGGAGCCACGACCCCCTGTGGCCTGAGTAGTCCGGGGCTCTGCGCCCGGTAGCCACAGTGTGAGCACTCCTGGTAGTCCAGAGAGCCACGACCCCCTGTGGCCTGAGTAGTCCGGGGCTCTGCGCCCGGTAGCTACAGTGTGAGCACTCCTGGGAGCACAGCGAGCCAGCTGCGTCTGTCGCCGTGTAGTCCGGGTTTAGCCTGGTAGCGACAGTACTACGCACGCCTGCTGCCAGTGTGTCTGCAGCTTCAGCCGTCGCCTCCCATCTTCTCGCCCCCACAGTTTCTCCTCCTCCTCACTTGCTCTCTGTGCTAGCCGCTAGCTTATAATTTTGAACTACTGCTCTGACTGTTTGTTGTATTGATTGTACCCCACTTTGACTATGGAGGTGTGTCAGAATGTGATGGTTGGCTAGCCTGCAGTGGGGTACTCTATAGCGAGTACAACCCGAATTAGGGTTTCCTATATGTACTCAACTGCTTGCTAGTGAAATTCCTCTTTGCGTGTTTCTCGTTTTCGCCTGCTATCTTGACATGGTAAGCCAAGACAAAAACAGGAATTTCGTAAAACCTCACCTTCAGCACTGGCTTGAAGCTCAAAATGGACTTCCTGGCCTTGAGGAGATAGTTGTCAGTGTTCGTGCTGTTCCCTGGGCAAAGGTACACTGTGTCACGCAGGGAAAGTAGCTTGCTAACTATGGTGCAAACAGACTCGCCCATGGCGTTCTGAATCGTGGTCCTGTCGCGGATGGAAAGAAGCCTGCATGGAGAAAAGCGGTGAGTGGGGAACCAGAAAACAGATTTTTAACATGAACTTGCACCATAACCTGATTTCTTCGAAAAAAAACGTATGTGATGCGCCTAAAGAGAGGTGGCTCATATCAAAACATCCCGATGCCTAATATCTTGCCTACTGAATACCAGCTTACTTGTCAGCAATCCTGAACTGAAGGTTGTTGTTGACATCACGCACTTCCTTGGCGTCTCGGAAGGAGAAGATTTTGTCCTTCATTACAAGAACGGTCTCGTACGGTGCGCAGTACTGCGGGCCAACCACCACATACGGCTGCACCCTCGGCACTTGCATCTGCGACTCCATTTCTTCCGCCTTTCCTTCCGTCTTTCCAAAAGAACCTTTAGAGTTTCTAACAAACAGAAATTGGACACGGTCCTGACACACAAGAGCACTTCGACCGAGTGCGCGTGGAACGAAGGATTGACGAAGACTCGGAAAGAATGGTACGAGGTTCACGCTGCCTTTACGGACCCAAGTGCCTGACGAAAGCATCACTAGTGATGGCAAACCTGAGCCACGGATTTCCGCCTGAATGACCAGCCGAGCGCCACCGTCTTCGCCCGAGACGCGGGGTGGGGTGAAGAGATGGCGGCTCGGTCGACATCTGACTCTAAGCGCCACCTGGACGCGTCAGTCATCTCGCCAGCTCAGGTTTCAGGACTTCGAAATCAGAAATGTCGTAACACTGTATCGAGAAAACTAAGAATCATTCCAGCTCGACAAACCTTCAACCCCAGTCTAACCTTCGCAAGAATCATTCCAGTTCGAATCAACCATGCAAGGTCTAAGGCTGTTCCGCTCGGCTGCATTGTGCCACGTGGAAGGAACAGGAAGCACGAGATTAGACCGGAGCCACAGTTGAGTGGATGAGCACAACGGCTAGAAATGTTTGTCTTGGTTTCACTCTGCTGCGTAATATCAGACACGTTTAGCTACGGTGCTAAGTGTGTTCCCTGGCCGAGCTGCGAGAGATGTTCACAGGGCGATCGAGCGCGGCGGAATACGGTATTGTCAGAATGCAATCGTTTAAAAACTAAGAAATGGAAGGAAGTTTAGCAGTTGTTGCAAGTTATTCATAATCCAACATGACATCTTCCACACTCGTTATTCTGGTCAGCGAGCCCGTCGCAACAATCGGGCCTTTTATTCTACTCATCTGAATTACCCCTAGAAGCTTTTATTTTACTCATCTGGGTACAAGTGCTTCTAGAAGCTTGCTACCGTAAACGCCCGGATATAAGACAGTGTTGAATAGTAGACAGGGGTTGTCTACTATACGGGTGTCTCTTATAAACAGGCTAGCCATATTATAAGACACCTATTTGTGTGTACGAGATAAGACATATATGTCTTATAATCGAAACTTCAATATATTATAGCGAAAGTTGAAATACCGCGTACATTTTTACCCTTGCGAAGCGCGAATTCTTCCACGCGCTGACCCAGGACCTACCAAATTTGCCTCTGCAGGTGTTCTCCATGACGTGGCGTCCCGGACAGTGGCTGCCGAAGTGGCACCTTCGCAACATCCACACTCATTATGAGGAACTCTTTTTCAAGAAGTACGGAAAATATTTCTAAGTAGTTTAAAAAGTTTCCATTTATAAGACTTATAAGACACCCTAAACCATCCCGTTTACAAGATAACTCAAGCATTTTTGCCCGTGTACGAGATAAGACATATATGTTGTCAGAATGTTATTATCTAGCCTGTAGTGGGGTGCTCTATAGCGGGTACAACCCAGTTAGGGTTTGCTATATGTATCCCAACTGCAGCTAGTGAAAACTCCTCCTTTGCCTAATTCTCTCTTGCCTAGCTTGTCAGAATCTAGCAGCAGGAATGATTGAACTAGCAGGATGCAGGAGTACAAGTAGTAAACCCTAATTGGGTTGTACCCCATATGGGCTACCCCACTACAGCCTAGACAATATGCAGCACATATAGTTTGACACACCCCCATAGGCAAAGTGGGGGAGAACAAGGGGTCACACGACCAGTCAAGAGAAACAAAACAAGCTCAGGGTGGATCACAACGTCACCACACATTCTGAGCACAAGCAAAGGGCCACAAGGCCAGTTCACATGCAGCAATAACAGTACAGTGATGGCTATCTAGAAAGAGCCAGCATGCAAGTGTATATATAGATCACAGTACAAGCAGAGACTACAACAAGTGTGGAAACGTAGGCACAAGGCCCAACAGAGTACAAAAGCGCTGATGATCACCAGACGGAAGTGCCTTGGTGAATATATCAGCAGTGTTGGCCCGAGTGGCCACGTGGCGAAGACGAAGCTGGCCTCGCTGCTGCAACTCTCGAGCCAGGAAGTAACGCAGAGCAATGTGCTTCGTTCTGTGCTCCAGTCTGTGCTCCTCACACAAGGCAATGGCCGCCTTGTTGTCAACGTACAGCACTGGAGGAGAACGAGGCTGCTCACCCAAGTCAGTCAGCAGGTAGGTGAGCCAGTGTAACTCCTGTGCAGCCATGGCTGTGGCGTAGATCTCAGCCTCACAACTGGAGCTGAGAACAGAAGACGAGCGTGTAGACCGCCAAGAAACAGAGCCAGAGCCAAGGCTGAAGGTGTAACCCTGTGACGACCGCTGAGTAGTCTGGTCGTCAACCCAAGACGCGTCTGAGTGCCCAGTGAGGACCACCTCACTCCGTCCTCCAAGCACGAGCCCCATGCCCGATGTACTGTACAAGTAGCGCAGTACCCTCTTAGCAGCAGCCATGTGCTCTGGTCGGTGCCTACCAGGAGCCACGTGTTAAATTGTAATGTGTTATATGTTGGTAGGCTGTAGTGGGGTAGCTGGTATGGGGTACAACCCCAACTAGGGTTTGCTACTTGTACCCAATTCTTCCATTCAATGCACCATTCTTGCCTAGTTCTCTTAACATGGTATTCAGAGCAGGAGGTCCCTAGGACCTATCGACCGTTTCTTTTAAGGGCCCACCACCGCTCGCATGCGGTTACCACGCTACCCCGTGCCCTAGCCTCGTAGCGCCCTCGTGCGTCCTCGTTAGCGCCCTCGCGCGCCCTCGTTAGCGCCCTCGCGCGCCCTCGTTAGCGCCCTCGCGCGCCCCTCGTTAGCGCCCTCGCGCGCCCTCACTAGCGCCCTCGAAGCGCCCCTCGTTAGCGCCCTCGCGCGCCCCTCGCAGCGTCGCCCGCCCGCCGAGCCGCCCGCTCGCCCCGCTGCCCGCTTCGCAGCCCGCTCGCCCCGCTGCCCGCTTCGCAGCCCGCCCGCCCGCTCGCTGCCCGCTTTGCGGCCCGCCCGCTCGCTCGCTGCCCGCTCGCAGCGTCGCCCGCCCGCCCGCTGCCCGCTTCGCAGCGTCGCCCGCCCGCTTGCTGCCCGCTCGCAGCGTCGCCCGCCCGCCTCGCTGCCCGCTCGCAGCGTCGCCCGCCCGCCCGCTGCCCGCTTCGCAGCGTCGCCCGCTCGCTCGCTGCCCGCTCGCAGCGTCGCCCGCCCGCCCGCTGCCCGCTCGCAGCGTCGCCCTCCCGCCTCGCTGCCCGCTTGCAGCGTCGCCCGCCCGCCCGCTGCCCGCTTCGCAGCCGCCCGCCGCGCTGCCCGCTCGCCGCGTCGCCCGCCCGCCCCGCTGCCCGCTTCGCAGCCCGCCCGCCGCACTTCCCGCCTGCAGCGCCGCCCGCCTCGCCTGCTGCTCCCTGCCTGTGCACCGCCGCTTGCTCCTGCTGTGGCTGCTAGCTTCGCTCTAGCGCGTCCCCTCTGCTGCTGCCGCTGCTCTGCTGTGCCTTCACGCCTGAGCCATGGCCTCTATTCGCGTTCTTTCCTTCGATGCTGAGGGCCGTCCCGTGCAGTTCACTTCCTGGCTCGACGACCTGCAGTTGTATCTTATGAGCAATAGCACGGACCACATCTCCCTCTATGACTACGCGTCTGGTGCTGCCGCTGCTCCTGCTGCCACAGCCGAGCTTAGTGTACGTTCACAGTGGCAGACTCGTGACGCTGCAGCTCGCCTGGCTATTCGCAGTCACCTGCCGTTAGCTGAGCTAGAGCACTTTGGCGACTGCAAAACCGCTAAAGCCCTATACGACGCTGTCGTTGCTCGCTACTCCTCACCTGCCACAGCCGAGCTTAGCCGTCTCATGCTGCCTTACCTGTTCCCTGACCTGTCCACCTTTGCTACAGTCGCCGATCTTATCACCCACCTTCGCACTAGTGATGCTCGCCTGCGTGCCGCCCTTCCCACCGAGTTCTGCGCTAAGAACCCCCCTCCCCTGTACTGGGCACTCCACTTCATAGTCACCCGTCTCCCTGACACCCTCAGCTCAGTGCGCGACTATTTCCTTGCTCGCTGTCCCACTGAGCTCACTGTCGCCCTCCTAGAGGAGAAGCTGCTAGCAGCCGAGAAGAGCATTGTAGCTGTAGGTGCTGCTCGCGGCGCTCCTCGCACCCCCATCTTTGAGGGGTGTTCTCCCTCTCCCCTCGCTCCCTCCTACGCTACTGCTGCTGCTGTTGACTTCCTTGGTGCTGAGTCTGCTGGCGCTGCTTCTGCTCCTGGTGGGAGGCGCCGCACCGGCAAGGGCAAGGGGGGCAAGGGTGGCGGGGGTGGCGCTGGGGGGGGAGGGGGTGGGGGAGGTGGGGGGGGAGGCGGTGCTGGAGGGAGCGGTGGCGGGAGTGCCGGTGGGAGTGGGGCCGGCGGCGGAGGCGGGGGCGGCGGCGGGAGCAGTGGCGGTGGTGGCAGCGGCGGCAGTGGCGGCGGTGGCGGTAGTGGCGGTGGCGGTGGCGGTGGTGGCGGTCGGAGCGGAGGTAGTGGCGGCGGTGGAGGTCGGAGTGGAGGCACCGGCTCGGGCCAGAGCTCCCAGCAGCAGCAGCGTCCCCAGTCGACCCAGCAGCTTCGTGAGTGGCTTGCTCAGCGTGGGACGTCGGGGGGCAGTGGCCGCTGTTCCTATGTCATTCGCACAGGTGATCGCAAGGGGCAGACGTGTGGAAAGTTCCACACTCAGTACCGCTGCTTCTTCCGCCTTGACGACGCTTGGCGTGAGGAGATGGGCGAGGATGTTGAGCGCCCTCGCTGGGCTGAGCTGATGAGGGCTGGTGTTGATATCTTTGCTCTTGACTATGATGCTATTATTGCTGCCATGTATGCATTGACTGTTAGTGCCGAGGGAGACTGTTACTTGTGTGTGCCGCCTGACCCAGGTATAGGGCCCGCTGCCCTAGGTACTAGTGAGTCTGCTCTCTCTGGTATGGTGCCCCCTGTACCTGCTCCCTCCAGCACTGTCCCTGCTGCTTGCGAGTCTGCTCTCTCAGGTACAGCACCCACAGAGACTGCTCTCTCAGGTA